TATAAAACTAGTCCAAAACTAATCAATTAAAAAAGATTGAGGCAATTATTAACTCAAGGAAATTAAAGTGTGAGAAAGAAATAATTTTAGCTGATTACGTGGTTCAGTTCAGAATAGCATGAGAACTTGTAGTATGGATAATGAATAGTGATTGAAGTAAAATTATGATATAATTACATTGGGTGGGGCTGGGGGATGGCAAGAGATGGGTTGGGAGTATAAAGATAAAGACAATGTCTCAAACTGGAAATCAAGCAAGGCCTTCTACTTAAAGATACAGGAGCCGGCTGGGTGTGGTGGTGGGCACCTGCAATCCTAGCTAGCACTTGGGAGGCAGAAGCTCAAAGGCAGGCAAAGTCATCTTTGGCAACATATCAAGTTCAAGGCCACCCTGGTTAACATAAGACCACATCTCAAAATAAAACAACAAAAATAAAGATCAAGGCAGAAAGTAAAATAACCCATGGGAAGAACAGCAAGTTTCCTGTGGGACTGGGAGTCAAAGGGAGACTAGATACTGTCATTTCTTATAATAGACCATATTGAACTGTTTGATTCTTTCAATTAAATTGCATAGAATTTTTTTTGGGGGGGGAAAAAACCCAATTGGTAGTGGATACCCTTAAGTATCTTAAAATGTGACTGGAATCTTGCTGGGTCAAAGAAACCAGTTAGGCTCAAACAGAACAGGGTTTTGGTTAGTAGAATTATTCAAAACCCCCGGGGCATAGCCCTTCCTTCATATTACAGCCACATGGGGAACTTCGAGAGCCTCTCCATGCCATGGTCTACCTGAGCCAATGAATCACTGAGACTGGCTGAGGGAGGCATCCAGAGTTTAAAAGCACGTCCCGAGATTCTAATGTTTAGCCTGCCGAGTCTATCGGTGGCCTAAGGAAATATTTTTAAATTTACCTCTTTATTCAATCATTCTGAGACATAGGCTACCTACATATCCCAGGGCAGTTTTTAACTTGAGTGTAGCCCAGGCTGCCTCAGCCTCTGGAACGCTGAGATAAATACAGACGTGTGCCACGATTCCACTCCCAGCTCTGTATCCTAACTTGTTGAAATATTTATTACTTATTATCACTATTTTTTTTAATGGCAGGGTTTCATGTGTCCTAGGCTGGCCTGAAACTCCTGATGTAGCCTAGGGTGACCTTGAATTTCAGATCCTCCTGCCTCAGCTTTCTGCGGTTACAGGCATGCACCACCACACCCCGTTCATGTACGTCGTTCTGGGAACTGAACCTAGAGCCTTGTGCATCCTGGGCAGCCAGTTTGCCACCTGAGCTACATCTTTGTGATCCCTGGCTTCATTTCTTTATTACTATGATTATTTACTTAAAAATGTGTGTGTGTGTGTGTGTGTGTGTGTGTGTGTGTGTGTGTGTGTGTGTGTGTGTGTGTGTGTGTTTGTGTGTGTGTGTATACTTGTGCATTTGATGGCACACAGTGGAAGTCAGAAGACAGCCTCAGTACCAGTATTCTCCTTCCACCTTGTTTGAAGCAAGGTCTCCTGTTCTGCAAATTTGAACTCCAGGCTAGTAGGCCTGCTAGCTTCTGGAGAGTTCTGTCTCTGCCTCCTATTCTGTCTCTGCCTCCTATTCTTGAGTAGGTGTGGGGAAATTACAGGCACACTGCTGCATTTGGTTTTTGTGAGTTTTGGGGATCTGAACTTAGGACAGATCCAGGCTGGACACCAGGCACTTTAACACACTAAGCCATCCCCTTGGCTCCTCACATGCATTTTCAATTCTACTTAATTCAACTCTTAAGAGAGTCATAGCTACAAGATACAAACTGGGACTGGAGAGCCGGCTCAGTGGGTACCGGCACTGGCAAGCCTGACCACTGGAACCTACCTAAAGGGAGGTGGAAAAAAAACAACTCCACAAAGTTGCCCTCTAACCTACGCAAATGTGCTTTGGGACTAACCCCCTGACCCCATTAACATAAAAACCTCAAAAGGAAGAAAACATGGGCTGGAGAGATGCCTCAGCTGGTAAGCATACTTGTTGCTCTTGCAGAGGATGGGAGTTTGGTTCCACAGCTTACGACTGCCTATAACTCCTGGTCCAGGGGATCCAAAACCTTCTTTTCGTCTCCATGGCACACAGATAAAGACACATGCACATAGATAAAGTTAAAATCTTAAAATCCTCACAAACTGATACTTTTAGCCATTTGAGCAGAGCTTGTAACAACAGCTGACTGGCACAAGGCCAGGCATGAAGGCCTCAGGGCAGGAAGTGCCAAGAGATGGCTTCACAGAAGCCCTACTTGGTTGCAGAGAAGGGTCGAGAACACAACACCTACCCCTGGCCTTGTGTAGGCGATGACTACTTTCTAGCTGTTATCACCAAGTCAGGGCATTGGCTACATGGTATCTGGGAAACCGAGGAGAAAGAAGCCATTTGTCATCTGTATTTTAAACACACAAGTTGTGTTTCCCTAGGTTTCGTCCAGGTAGTTCTCCCTGTTTTCCCTTTGCTAACCTGGGGTTTCACCATGGAAGGAATTGGAACCCCATGTCTTTCTGGTGGGAATGTTGAGAGGTGCCTCTGCTAAGAACAGTTTAGTCGCTCTGCCGCACACACAGCAAACCTGCAGTTACCACAAGGCCCAGCAATCCCACCTAGGCTTGCACCCAAGAGTGCTGAACGCCTAAGTCCACATAAAAACACGTAAAAGCACGCCCAGAGCACCACATTCACATTAGCCAACGAGTGAGAGCCACCCACATTCCGGTTAGCTGTGTGTGGTAAATACCTTGTAGCATTAGCCTTGCACAGGAGTGAAGTCCTGACATGCTACATCGTGCAGAAGCCTAGAAAACGCTTGGCTAAATAAGAAATCAGACACAAAAAGCCATGAGCTGTCTGGTTCCATTGAGAGGCAGATTCAGAGGCAGAGGGTAGATTAGTGGTTGCTGGGGTTGGGGAGGGGAGGATCAGAAGAGTGTTAATGGTGTGGAGTTTGTTTGAGTGATGGAATTAAACAAAGGGTGATGGGGTATGATACTGCAAACACACTAAAGCCCACCGAAGTGCATGCTTTAAGATGCTGAAAAGAATTTTGTGTTGTGTGAATTTTATCTCAATGCAAATGCAAGGAATAGAACTGTAAGGTTGTGATGTTAGGATCCAGGCCCTCCCCTTTCACAGTTATAGACAGGCACCTACTGAGACTCTGTCAATCTCTGGCTAACATTCACTTGGGGGAACAGAACTACACAACAAAGGGGCTATTGGTGCCACAGCCTGCTCATCACCCCCTCCTCTGCCTACTGCCTGGGAATCTGTCTAGCTGTAGACTTCTACCTTCCCCCTGTCTCAGAAAAGTACCAAAAAGAGAAACCCACTTCTGTCACGAGCCTTGATTCCTCAGGGACAACCCCAAATTGAAATTTCCCTAGAAATCTCATGGTAGGAAGAGGAAAAGAAGGCCAGAGATCTTCCTGAGCAGGTAAAGGTGATTGCCACCAAGCCTGATGACCTGAGTTCGAACTCAGGGAACTACAAGGTAAAAGGAAGAACCAACTCCTTCCTGTAAGTTGTCTTCTGACCTCCAATTTGTATTGTGGTGCATGCACACACGCACACATGCATGCACACATACTATAAATAATAAATGTAGTTTAGCAGGTGAGATGGCTTGGTAGGTAAAGGTTATTTGCCACCAAGCCTGACAACCTAAATTTAATTCCCAAGACATCTCCAGCTAGAAACCTTGTTATAAAACACACATACACACAGCACAAGTGGACTCAGTTTTATGAAATGCAAGTTAATAATGGCCAGGGAGACCCTGAGGGAACATTACCTACCACCCTACAGGTTTTTCGCAGACCAGAGAGTGGAAGGGGAAGGAGCAATGATTTAAGAACTTTCAGTGTAGATTATATGTTTAAAACAAAACATCAATAAGGCTGGAGAGAGAGCACTGCCTGCTCTTCCAGAGGACCCATGTTCAATTCCCAGCACTCACATAGTGCTTACAACTGTCTGTAACTCCTGTTCTAGGAATCTAACACCCTCTTCTGGCCTCATAGATACCAGACACATATGTGGTACACAGATATACATACAAGCATAACACGAATATACATTATAAAAACAAAAATTAACCCTCCACATCAATATAAACCATGCCCTGGTTTATAGTGAAGGAGACAATAAAAGGAAACTCATCAATTCAAGTCAATCCCAAGAACAAAAGTATAGGGGGAAATGCTGGCCACGCCCTCTTGGGAGTGGTCAGAGTGACATAGCAAGACTTTAACTATGTGGGTAGCACGCATTCAGCTCTGTTCCCTGACCCGCCTGGTTGTACAGGACTGGCTCCATCGAGTGAGTACTCTCATCTGCTCATCAAACTAGCTCTGACTTCATTGCGATCTGCATTAATTGCGTTTCACTTTACAAAAGTCTTGCTGAATTAGAGAAAAATCCAGACTTGTTTTTGAAAAATGTATATACATTTATTAAAAACTTGAAGTTCCGTAAAACTTTACTAGAGAGGGACACTATAAATTCAGACATCCTGGGGATTAGGTACAGACAGATTTAGGTTTCCAAGGAATTCTTAGCATTTCCTATTGAATTCCTTGCTGCTCTGGGATTTTGGTGCTTTAGGATAGATCCTCTGGGCCTGGAACCCTGGCTACTGAACAGCGGCTCAAGAACCCCAGAACAGATGGGAGAGGCTCTGGTGTGCTTACAGTCAAATGCAGACAGCAGTACATCTCACGAGTGGGTGTGGTTTCCTCTGAAGTTCTTTGGAGTGACACACCCATAAGACCATTTTCTCCACTCAGTGAAGAACCACTAGGCCCCCCCCCCCAAATGCTGGCCCCATTACAACCCCAGGACTCCATGTAACATGCAGGTAAAAATGTCCCTAGGCAGGAGATTTCTTCATTTCTTATCCAGTCATCTAAAATTGTCCCTTAGTGGGTCACAGTTAGGCAGGTAAGATCATAAAAATCATAAAATTTAAAAATGTAATCTTTTCCAGATAAACAGCATGGCCGTTGCAAAGACCCAGTATAGAAAAGTCTTGATCAGCAGACTCCTCCAAAAATCGAGTGGTAAGTGGCTCGAAAAGAAGTGGTAAAAGCCATCCTGCAAGGGACACAAGAGGAGCATTAGTCTGCCTCCCCGTGAACAAACCCGAGCCCCACATACACAGAAGGCCGGGCTTAGAGAGGGCTCAGCAGTTGAGAGCATTGTCTGACTTGGGTTCAGTTCCCAGCACTCACATAGTGGCTCACAATGCCTGTGACTCCAAGTCCAGGGAATCTTGCGCCCTCTTCTGGCCTCTCTGAGCACTGCATGTATATGACAACACATGCAGGCACTCATCCACACACAATAAAAATATCTAAATAAAAATTCACAGGAAGGGCTAGCGTAGAGCTTGGAGGTCAAATATGTGATGAGCATGCATAAGGCCCTGGACAATGTCCAGTATGAGAAACACTCCAAAATACATGGGAGGTTCTAGATCATGCCATAAACAAAAGGCACGTGGCTTCCAGACATGTCATATGATTTATTCACAGTGGCTCAATTTGGGTAGAAGCAAGCATCTAACTCTCCCATATGGCAGAGATGCCTCAGAACACCTCACACTTTACCTCAACGCTGAGGAAAGACATCTAGCAGAACTCTATTAAAACCTCTCTTTCCTCTGATACCTTCTCCACAACCTCCAATAAAATTGAAAAACTTAAACCTTGGGCATTCCCTCCTTTGACGTCACCTGTCTGTCTTTAGCTCTTGATTTCACCCTTGACCCTCTCTCTACAAATCAAATTCAAAATGGTTTCAAAACACATCAGGGACCTCCTGGGTCACACCTGTAGTTACCCCTTTAATAACTTTCTTGGTTCTTACATCCATAGTCCCCCTCTTCAGCACACTGCCCAGCTCAGCTCATCCAGACTGCAGAGAGTGTGTGTGAGTATGAGTGTGTGTGTGTGTGTGTGTGTGTGTGTGTGTATGTGTGTGTGTGTGTGTGTGTGTGTGTGTGTATGTGTGTGTGTGTGTGTGTGTGTGTGTGTGTATGTGTGTGTGTGTGTGTGTGTGTGTGTGTGTATGTGTGTGTGTGTGTGTGTGTGTGTGTGACATCACACAGGCTTGTGTGGACAACATCCCTCCATTGTGCCTATACAGGCTTCAATATCTGACTCAGATACCCTGAGATGGGAGATGTGCTGACTCCACACCACCCCAACAGAGACTGAGCTCTGGTCACCCCAAGACAAAAAGGCCGGGAAGGTTATATTGGACCAGAGTGTATTCACTTGCAGCACCTGCTTTCTCTACTTCACAGCTTAGAGCAAATAGCAGGCACCCCATTGAAAGCCAGCCTGTGGATTTGTAAGCCTCTCTTCCCCAAAAGAAGTTTACCAACACCAGGCTACCTGAGACCCTAGGCAATCAGGGACTCTGGTAACAAATTCTGTATGATGAACACATTAGCTAAAGGAGCCAGCTTTTCCCCCTTTCCTTGCTGCTCCGGAAGCAGTGACAACCCAACTGCAAGCACGGATTTACCACTATGGAGCATGGGACCTCTTCCTTCCTTTGAAGCCTATTGAGGGGACTCCGACTTTGTCGAGTAGACCTAAACTCTATACAGAGCCCCTGCCATGCTGTCCTTCTATGGTGTTAGTAACTCTGCTAATGAATCTCCTACCCAAAAGAAAATCTGCCTTGACATTCCTCTTGAACCCTCCCAAGTCTTATGAGAGCTTATGAGAGAGCGGAGAGGGGTGAGGGGAGAAAGGGGAAAGGGGAGAGAGAGGGGGCAGAGGGAGAAATTAATACTGTCTTAATGACCTCTTCAGAGAGTTCAGAGAGGGTTCTCAAAAACTCAGCTGAAGGCGGGCCTCGGGCCCTGTGGAGGCCCATACATCAGGAGCAGGGCAGGAGTTACTGCTCCGCCTTTCTTATTCAGGTGCTCTAACTGCAGACTGCCGGCAGGAAGGTGGGTTTTTGTTTTGTTTTGTTTTGTTTTGTGGGTTTTAATGATTAAGTTACATTTATCCCATACATTTGGGGAAACCTGAGGCCAAGCTCAGCGTGTGGGCTAAACTAGGGTAGAGGTTTTTTTTTTTTTTTTTCCTGGTGGTGCTGGGGATCAAACCCAGGGCCTCACAGTCTACCCTCAAGCTTTATTCCCATCCTGGGTGTTTTTCTTGATCAGTAGCTCTGTGTAGCTGCCTCTTTAGCTTACACTACAGAGACTAAGGACCAACAGAAAGCCAGGAGCCTGGAGGTTGACCAGCAGGGGAAAGTGCAGTGGGCAAGAAGTAGAGATCCCAGTTAGAGGCCCCACTTGGTGGTCACACACATTTCACAACCCCCAGGGCTTTAGTCTCCTAAAGGGTTAGAGAATGAGAGGAAGCTCCAGAGAGCCTGGATGTGACCACAACTCCCTTTCTGCTACTTGGGCCTATCAGACCTCATAAGCCCTCCCTGAAGTCCCGAGGGTAAGGGTTAGAGTTAGCCACCCCTGAATGATTTTTATGAGAACTATTGAGCAAGGGCTGCCTGAGTGCCTAAAAGAAATCTTGGGCTGGGAACGTGGCTCAGTGGGTAGAGTGCTTGCCTGGCAGGCTCAAAGCCCTGGGGTCCACATCCAGCACCACATAAACCCATCTTAGTGACCTAGCCTGCAACTGTAGAGCTCTTGGGATGGAAGCAGGAGAACCACAGGGACAGGAGGTTATGTAATGAGCCTAGCCTGGGCTACATGAGACCCCGACTTTAGTAAAAAAACAGCTGAAGCACTCCTGGTCTCTGAGGGCTCAGTACAGCACCCCTCCACACACACACCCTACCTTCACACACCACCATACCCTATCCCTGGCTCTCAGCTCTCACCCAGCCACCGTGAGCCTCCAGCCAGGAGCGATGCTGTCCCAGGATCCGATCGCACAGCAAGTCCACTATGAGTTGGCAGTCTAGAAGCACTTTACTCGATCCTTCAGACCATTTATCTGCTCTTGACTCACAATTGTCCCCGCGAAGGCCAAGAGCATCACAAGGCGGCCCCAGTTGAAGCCTTCGCTATCAGAGAGCACCGCATCTGCCATCTGTGTCATCAGCAGCACACGGTTGCCCTTGTAGCCGTAGAAGGAGGAGAAAAAAAAGTGGTGCTGTTCTTGGAACTGCTCTGCCACGGAGCGCAGCAAGGCGGCCTCGACCGACCTGGGCAGTGGCTCGGGTTCATCTGGCTCCCGTGCGCAGAACATCAAGTAGTCAGTCAGCAGCCGTCTAGTGCGTTCCAGCAGCGGGTCGTCCATCCTCCGGCCTCTGCGCCCGGCCTAACTCCACCCAGATTTCTAGGCCCAGCTGCTTCCTGCCTCCACCCACCAGACATCTGGGAATCTCACTTACACCTGTTATAAGGAGCGAGGCCTGTGATGGCCTATTGAGAAACAGCTGGGACCTGGAACTTTCTAGGAGTTGGTAGGCCTTAGACCAGTCATTCTCCTGCCTCGGCCTCCTGAATCACTGGGATTGCATGCTTGTGCCATCAAGCTGTGTCTTAACTTGCTATTGACTGGAAAATGAGGATACATAAATCATTTTGCAAAGCAGCTGGTCTAGGTTGGAGGAGGCAATGTGGCCCCTGCCCCTGACTCTTGCCTATCTCTGAACTACCAGCTATGTTCCCTAGAACCCCCGCTGTTCTCCCTTGAACACATCTCTAGTACAGTGGTTCTCAACATTCCTGATGCTGTGACCCTCACGTTGTGGTGACTCTCAACAATAAAATTTATTTCTTTGCTACTTCACAACTGTAATTTTGCTACTGTTAGGAATCGTAAATACCTGAAATGCAGGGTATCTGATTGGGGGGGGAGAGGTCACAGGTTGAGAACCATTGGTCTAGTAGGTTACAGGCCTGCTGGGCTTCAGCCCTTGTGGGTCATCTTGGGGCTCTTTTTTGACTTTTTGTGATGCCCCAAGTTTCCTCGGAGGCCTTTTTTCAGTGATCTTCTGTGCCCAGCTGTCCTAGTCCCTGTCCACATTCTCTAGAGGCCCGCTTTAATCCAGGGCAGACTCCTTGAGGAGCAAAGAGAGCTCTCTAGAGTGTTAAAGTATAACCCAGACCTATCCTATGTCTCTGAGACTTTTTCAGGGCTCCTAAGAGACATTTTAATAAAACAACAAAAATGTATGTGGTGTTTCTCACTCTCAGTTTCAAAGAGACTGAAGAGACAGTAGCACCCGATGGCTGGAAGTATTGGGGGGAGATGTTGGGCCCCAGCCGCCACCGGGTCTCCATGAGTTGATAACCACAGATGCATCCTGTTTTCTAGTCTTGGATTACAGTCTGGGTCTTGCCCCTCCGGCATCAAAAAACATGAGCTCTTATACCTGGGATTTTTCCACTGTGCCGTAAGTCTGTATATAAGGCTGCTCCCTCCCTGCAAAACACACACACACACACACACACACACACACACACACAAACACACACACCGACTGGACGGCTCAGTTTTTAATTGAATCTCCAGGCTTTCACCTGATACCCAGACTTAGTCTTGGAGGGTTGCCACAAGTGGAGGTTCCATTAGACTTAGTCGTGGTGCAGGCACCACAAGGCCACAAGGAAGAATATTCTTTCTTGCATTCTGAGGGGCTCTCTGAGGAGCAGGAGTCTGGGGCAAAGCCAACACTAAGCAAAGAGCCAGGCAGAGGAGGGTAAGACAGGGGACCAGGCAATCTGGGGATACACACTCCCCCTGCTTCTCAGGGACAGCAAATCTTTGGCTGGTCAGATGCCCAAGGCCACACACAGTGCCAGTTTTACCCAGGAATGATTACCAGTGTCCAAGGTGACCTTTGGTTCCCAGTACTTTCTTTAAGAATTTTTTTTCTTTTTAAAGATGGGTTCTTGGGCTGGGGCTGTAGCTCAGTTGCTTCTGAATCATGTTGGGTGGGTTTGGTTCCAGCAGTGTGCCTACAATTTTAGTGTACCCAGTGTGTGGTGTATGCACCTGACAGGCAACAGCAGGGGGCCCAGAAGTTTATCTTCTTACTTGGCAATGTAGCAAGGTTGAGGGAAGCCTGGGATATAGGAGAGCTTGTGTGGTAGTTTGAATGTATTTGGCCTCCATAAGCTCGTAGGGAATGGCACTGTTAGGAGGTGTGGCCTTGTTGGAGGAGTCTGGTTGATGCACACTTTTAGTCCAGATCTTGAGGCTGGAGGGCACACCTTTAATTTGGTCCACACCTTCTGTTTTAAGTGTGTCACTGTGGGGGCGGGTTTTGAGGTCTTTTCCTCAAACTTCCCTTAGCGAGACAGGCAGCTGACTTCCTGTTGCCTGCAAGATGTAGGACTCTCAGCTATTTCTCCAGCACCATGCCTGCCTTCCTGCCTGCATGCCACCATGCTCCCAGCCTGATGGAGTGAACCTCCGAACTGTAAGTAAGAGTTGCTGTGATCATGGTGTCTCCTCACAGCTACAGTAAACCCTAACTAAGACACTTTGTTTCATGAGAAACAAAACAAGGAGCAGTGAGATTATTCAGCAAGGAAGGATACTCATTACCAAGCCTGAGGATCTTGAGTTTGATCCCCAGGCACCACATGGTAGGAGAAGTAAACAGGATTTCACTGGTTGTACTCTGACATACACATGTGCTTTGTGGCATGCGTTTTCACCTGCATACACACAGAATAAATAAATGAATAGAATAATGAATAAATAAATAAATAAATAAATATAAAAAGCAAAATAGTGCAAAACAACACACACACACACACACACAATGAAAAGACGAGGTCTCACTATGCGGCTGAGGTTAGTCTTGAACTCTTGGGCTCAAGCCATCCTCCTGCCACCCCCTCCGAAACCTGAACTTACAATTGTGTGCCACCACTTCTATTAACATGACATTTTTTTTTTTACTAGATAAGGTATTTCTAAAAGAACAAACCTCTACACCTTTAAAAGAAAAAAGGAAGAGAATGTAGGGACCTTGTAATAAGAAGCAGCCAGTGGCATCTAGAAGGAATTGCGGATTCAAATAAAGACAGGATACCCCTTTGATAGCAAAGACATTATTATTCATGACCTGCCCATCAGTTTGTATAAGTATAACTGCTGTTCAGGACACTCGAATATTATTGACATGGGCAACACCCACTTTAATTTAAGCATTTCTAATAACACTGCTAGTAGGCTTTTAAATCCATTGAATGTCTTGTCTTCCCACACCGGAAGGTTCTGTTTGCTCTCCGAAGCATTTGTGCTATAAATGGCAACCAGTTTCCCCTCAAGTGTGGGAAAAAGTCCTGCCCTAGACCACCATCTATCACAGCATCACAAGTCAAACACATGGCCTGTTTTCTGCACATGTCTGCTTCATGTCTACAGGCTTTCCCAGACAAAAACATTTCATCTAAAAAAATACAACTGAACAGCTTGAAAAAAAAAAGATACTTTTACATAAAAACAGCTTTAAAAAGTGAATCTGTGTAGTCACATTTGGAACTGGAATTCTCTTCTAAGACAGACCAGTGGACAGTCATTCTCACAGTCCATACAGCTGGCATGTCCAGAGGAAGGTTCTAGAAGCCACAGTCCACACCAAGAAAAGGTAGAGTTTAAAGTGCTCTGAAGACAGACTGAATTCAAGGAAGCAATGAGGGACATTTTCAATGCTGATAAACGTGGAGTTCTATTGGTTGGAATAACTTCAAAAACAGACAGATTTTACAAGGTGTTGGAGATGAATGAGACAAGAACTGGAAGGGACAGCTGAAGTGCCAAGGCCCACAGGAGCACATTGCCAGGGAGGGGATGGTTTTCATGGTGACACTGGAGGGGCTGAGTGAGTGCTGAGCTGTGAAGTTGCTCCCATAAGCTAACCCGTGGGAAGTCCTGGGCTCCTCTAGAAATCATGCCCACAGGAGAGGACCCGTTCGTCATGTACACTGTGAGAAGATTATGCCCAAACCTGAGAAGACACAGATAGGTTGTTTTTAGTAGTTAATAATTCATAAAACTTAAGTTTAAAAGAGGAAATCATACTGCACACACACACACACACTCTCCACCAAACAGGGCTCTTGTGGGCTTCAGCATCCTTGACACCTACCCCTCTCAATTCACTGTCTGCAGGGCCTCTGCAACCAGCTCACCAGCCACTCCCTTAGACTGGGAACTGAACCACGTATATCCTCACAGATCATTGTTGTTTATCATCACCTCACTATTAAGCTTTGTTTTTATAACATTGCAAAAAAAAAAACAACTTTTTTATCTATTTGTCCTAAAACTAGACATTCAACCTACTCCCATTAAAATAAATAGAACACGAGGGACTGCTTACTTTCTAAGACCTTATTAAAGTATTTTTCATTCATTCATTATCTGTCTATATCTGTATACTTTGGAATGTGTGTGCTGTAGTGTGCATGAGTAGGTCAGAGGATAATCTGTGGGCATCAGTTCCTCTCCTACCACCATGTGGGTTCCAGGAATCAAACTCAAGCTGTTGGGCTTGGCAGCAAGTACCTTTACCCACTGAGACATCTTGTTGCTCCCTCAAGATTTTCTTTAAAATCTGCCCCTCATCCTCTGCCCAGCAACGTTAAAATTATTATGCTCCAAATATGTCCAAGCCTAGCCAAGTCTTTATCCAAAGATCCCTCTCAAACTAGGCCCCTAAACCCTCACACAAGCCTTTGTTAGATTTGGTATCTTGCATAGCAACGAGCAATGAATGTGCTTAGCACTCCCATGTTCCAGGAACACCCAATGTCCACCTCTTTGCCTTTTGCTATAGTGGTAGGACTCAAGGGGAGTTGAAAGTCTGATCAAAGCCATAAGGCCCCTTTCCTGCAATCGTAGTCACATAGTCAATATATCATCCCAGGGGCCTTCACTGCCTCACAGGGGGCTGTGACCTGACACATGACATCTGTGCTGGTGTGGGGAACCCTTCAGTACAGGGAGTAGCAACTGGGAACCTGTGGCTTACTCAAGGACAGAATCACAATCAATCAGACAGTTAGGGGAAAACAAAACATTTGGGTTATCTAGCTCCAGTTTTCTTTCAACACCATGCCGAAACTCTTGGTCTCTCTGAACACCTGTGTGGATGAAGCGCCTAACCTCCCAGAGACACCCCCGTGGCATCTGTAGTTCTAGACATGAGAATGCTGGTTGACATCCTGTCTCAGGAAGGCCACCAGTCCTTCCTCTCCTTTCACACAGGAAAAGTGAGACATCTCTCTTACTCTTAGAGTGTGATCCCATGATCCTGAGCAGAATGCTGTCCCATCGGGAGAAACTCGAAGAGTGCTGACACGGTTTTCATGTCCAAACAGGATGGAGACCCTGGAACCCTTGAGAACGTCCCAGACATTGATGGTATAGTCATTGTACCCAGCGAAGAGCAGGCGACCTGGGAGCAGAAGACACAATACAAT